CAATCGGGCGGTCTTCTGAGGGGTCGTTGGCCGTCTCGGAGTGGTCTTTGGGGACCTCGAAGGCCGCCCTGGGGCGCCAGGGAGCCCGAAAGGTGCGGACCTCCACATCTTGAATATAATCAAGGATAGATCAATAGTATTTGTCTTTCGGTGCTGTGGTGGGGGCCCTCGGATATCCTTGCGCGCGTTTGCGCCGCCTCGTGCGTCCTTCGTGGGTCTTGTCGGTGCGGAATCAAAGGATTAGCTGGTCGCGGCGCGCCTTCTGGGATCCCCAAGGGGCCGTCGCGATGTCTTCCTGCGCCGCCGCGGGCGCCTCGCGGGCCGCCTCGGGGCCACGCGCGGCCGTCTCGGGGCCCGCTTTGGAACCTGTCGGGCAGCGTAGGGCCAACATTGGATTGGAACGCGCGGGGGTTGAAACGATCAAACAGATGGTTGTTGAGACGGGGCGGCTGTTGTGTCACTTATGCACGGCCGTGGCCTCGATGACACTAACCAGACGCATTGCGCGCGCCAGACGGGGTGCGATTGCATATCCTGTCGAACTGCAAGTACGTCATACGCCTTAGAGAACGTTGGAAATAATCCCAAATCGAAGCGCGAAGCGTTTTCACGCGCCTCTGCGTGCGAAAGCATGGTGGCGGCCTTCCTTTCCTTCCCCATCCGACCCCCTTCCCCCCCTCGCCGCGCTCTACTCTGCGTCCCCCCGCTGCGCCTCCGGCCCCCGCCCCGCCAGACCCTCCGCTCCTGCCCCCCCCCGCCGCCCCCGGCGCCCCCCCCCTCTGTTGCAATTTTGGATCCGACCATTCTGGCTCAAGTATTCTGGCTCCACAGAACCCTCTGCGTCGACGTCGTCTCCGCGGTGGGTCGACGCCCAGTGCGCATGCTGCGCTGGCGCGCGCTGTCGGCCCTTCGGAACGCGCGCAGGCCCGCGGGGGCGCGCTCCCGCCTTTGCGGCGTGCGCGCGTGCGCGCGCGAGCGGGCTTTCAATCCCTTCGTTGTGCGTCGCGTCTTGCGCTAATCTGCGCGGTGCGGACGTGCGCGGTCGACTGCGCCGCTTCTTGCGCCGTGTGGCGACGAGAGGATGTGCTTTTTTGTTGTCGCGCCGTTCGAGGCGCCCATCAATTCCTGGCCGCTGCTCTTGAGTTCTGACCGTTCCCAGCGAGGGTGCCCAGCCTCATAGCTGACTGTTGGCGGTCGCGCTTCGACGCGCGATGCGTTTTTAGCGCGCCCTGAAAACCAGCGCCCGTTGCAATCCGATTCCATACCTCGCTGGTTTTTTTCCAGCTTGGGTTAGCGTTCGCGCCTTGCCGTGCGCGGGCGGCCCTACTCGCGTGATCGCGTCGCTTTGGATGCGCGGCGCGGTTTTCATTATGGTTTTGCGACCCCAAGAACTTTCAGAAGTGCGCCTGGCGACCTGCAAATTTGCACAGCCAGTTGCCATCGCGCCGCGACTTCTGGCGATGCCATCGCCCTCGAACGTGCGCGCGCGCACGTGCGAGCCACTGGTTGTGGGTTAGCGCGCGCAGGCACGCGCATCGCGTTGGCTTGTGCAGTTTGCGTTCGTCATGCGGTTGCGCGCTGTAGTGCCGCGTGGGGTTCGCGCGTGGTTGCGCGACCTCCAATGTGTCATTGAACGTAATGGCGCCTTTGATGTCGCTGTCGCAATGACACTTGCTCCAAGGTGTTTGTTCGATGTATCACCGCTGCCGCTGTCATTGGCGCAGCGGTTCCTCATCGCAACGTCGCGATTGGCAGGCAATTCGGTCCGCGCCCTTTCGCGCCAAACGCTGTGATCGTGGTGCCCATCGGGGCTTCAGTCTGCAGCGAGGAGCATCGCGCGGGCGCTCGCGTTCTCGCGTTCAGTCAGCCGCGATTGGTCCAACGCTATACCGAGCATTTTGCGATTAAACGTTTAATTTTTTGAATTGCGTTTTGTCGTCAAAAGCTTCGCCAGTAGAATGGCGCCGCTGAGGTGTCGCTCGATTCAAGCGGCGCGTAGGTTGTACAGCGTGTCTTGCATAGGTAGTTTCGGTGAGTTTGGTCAGAGGCTTTGTCCTGTGCGCGGGAAGTGCCTCTTCGTCGAGGTTGGGCCTCGCTGGCTTGGTCTTTGACCCCAGCACTTGCGAGCACTTGCACCTGCGCTGGGGGAGCCGGACATGCCGACTGCCCCCTCCGACAGCTCAGGTGTGCAGTCAGTCCGACCGTGGTGCCCCAGGCGGCGCAAAACACAGTCGGCACACCAAGCAGTGACTTTTCAGGAGGGAGAAAAACACACGGACACCATGAATCGTCGACTCCCCAGAACTATGAGAAAATACGGGAAGTGGGGGGGAAGACAAAAAACCCAGCTATTGTTTGAAGATATGGGGAATGCTGTCATTTGTGTGTGTGTGTGTGTGTGTGTGTGTGTGTGTGTGTGTGTGTGTGTGTGTGTGTGTGTGTGTGTGTGTGTGTGTGTGTGTGTGTGTGTGTGTGTGTGTGTGTGTGTGTGTGTGTTTGTCTGTGTGCCCCAGGGCCCCTTCAAAAATCTGCCCGCCGGCGGGTGCCCCCCGCAGAAAAATGCCTCGTCTCCCGAGGGGGCCCGAGGAGGAGGAGGAGGGAGGGAGGGAGGGAGGGAGGGAGAGAGGGAGGGAGGGAGGGAGGGAGGGAGGGAGGGAGGGAGGGAGGAGGAGGAGAGGAGGGAGGAGGGAGGGGAGGGAGGGAGGGGAGGGAGGGAGGGAGGGAGTCCAGAGCCGACGAAGGCTGTGCCCGCCGACGGGTGCTCCGGGCCCCCCGGCTTGGGGATCCTCCGCGCCTTCTCAGCTGCCCCCGTCGGGTTCGGGCTTGCCGCCCTGCGCGGCTGCTTTTGTCATTCGCTCATCCAGCTGCCCTGGTTTTGTCTCGTTTGTTTTTGTTTTTGTTGTCTCGTGTTGTTTGCATGCTCTTTCTCCGCCTTGTTCGGTTTTTGCTGCCCTTCCTCCTGCCTCGCCCCCTCCCTCCCGGCCGCGCCGTCACTGCGTTGTCCCTCCTCGCCATCCTCTGCCGCCTGTGATGCCCGAGAGGTGCGCCTCGTGTTGTTACACAAGGGATGGGCCCCGCGGGCGGCGTCCACTTCGCGCCCGTTCGCCCTGGGGCGCAGCGTGCCCTTGACCGTCGCCCAGCCTCTCATCCGGCGTACCGGGTGTGATTGTTTGCTCCGAATGTCTTGTTTCGCCAGTCCTGGTCGGGCTGCCCCCGCAGAGTCTCCTTGATGCGTGTCGGCATCGGATTCTGTCCGCGAGAGAAGGAAGCGCTCCAGCGATCGTCGTCGTTGCCACGTCCACCGCCGCCCTGCGGCGTCCTGTGCATCTCCCCGACCGTCACCGTTCGTCCTTTCACCTGGTGTGTCTGTTCTGGACCTCAACAGGGAGCTGCGTCACCATGCCGCGCTGTTTCTGCCCGCTGGGAATCTGATCCTAGCCTGCATCTGCCCCTGGGCCCAGTTCGCATTTTTGTTTTGTTTCTTTTTTTTTATGTTGGCATGCTCTAATTTTTGATGGTGTGCGCATGTGTGTCGCCTTCGATCACCGTCAGCTCAGGGAGTTGCATCGCCATGGCTTCTGCGAGAAAAGAGCATGCGCGAGTTCTGAGGCCCACCAGGGACGCATCAGCGGGCACTTATTTGCTCGTTTTCATTGTTCGATTTACATTTAGTTATGCACGTTGAACAACTTCCGTGTGCCGCCCTTCATTTCACCCCCAGGTTCTCGACACACCCCGATGCATTCATTGTTCGGTATTCGAATTCCAGGGACAGGCCCACGAAACCATGAGATGGCAGGCCGGAGTTGTACGCCCCCCCCCTGCCAGAACTCTGTCAACGAGGGGGTGTCTATACAATTTCGTGCGCACGGGGGGGGGGTACGTACCAGAGTTGTTCTGAGCATGGTTTACCGCTGTGCTGCCACGCAAGTCCCCGCGCGGTTCGCCAAGTCGGCTGTGGCTTTCGAGCCGTATCTGCCAGCTGTCTCTGACAGAGTGGACGCACCAGTTTTTTTCTGCTTGTTTCCAAGCCGCTGGCCTATTTCGCGCATTTTGAACTGCGGAAGGAAACCATATCACGTGAAGAGAGGTTGTGAGCCTCTGAGTGATAGTTCCATCTTGGTGTCGGGGACGCTGTCGATCAATCGTTGTGGTCGCGAAAGAGCTGTGCACCGTGGCACCGTGTTAGCTCTGCCTGCTTCCCCGCCCACCCAGGGCGGGGCCGAAATGGCAAGGCGGGGTGACCTGCATGTCCGTTCAGAGCCACTGTATCCTCAAGTCAGTTTCGGACCTTCCTGTGCGCTTTGAAGTGCGGCCGCTTCAACACGCCCACCACTGCAAGGGCCCTCTTCTACATGGTCGTCGGCTCCTCTCCGCTGGGTCGCGATTTTGACGCGTGGGCCACTTAACCTCGGCTTTCTTGACCGCCACTCGGGCTCGCAGACCTCATCCCAGCGCCTTGTACCGCCTTAGGGCCTTCCACATCAAGTTGCCCCGTGCCCCCGCTGCTCGTGTGCAGCCCGCATGCAAGGTCTCCTCGGGTACCCCCGCGCTGGCCCTCATGGTCTGAGCGGGCTCCTCCCTTTTCCTTCCTCGCCCTTCGTGCTTGATTTCAGTCCCAGTGCACCCCGCCGCTGGTTGACCAGCAACAAGTGTTCGTTGTCGTTCTCTGTGGTTGCCACTGCCGTGCTTTTTCCGTCAGCGCGAGCATGTGTTTCCACCGCGCTCACGTCCCAGAGGCAGCTCTGCGAAACTGCCCCCCTCCGCACGTCATCGTTGTCGTCCGTCCGTGGTCCGTCGCCGTCGCCGCAGCCGTCCGCCGTCCGAAATCCTCCGTCGCCCTCTGGCGTCGGCTAGCCGCTGCCGTCTCTTGCCGCCGCTGCCGCCGCCGTCGCCATCGCAGTTGCCGCGGCAGTCGCAGTCGCCGCTGGCCGCTGCCGCCGCCGCAGCCGTCGCCGCCGCTGTTGCCGCCGCCGCCGTCCGCCCCGCGCGCCCGCCAGGAGCGCCGCCGTCCGCCCTCCGCCGCACGGGGGAAGCCATCGCGGCAGGCCTCCCCCGCGCCCGCCTTGCCCTCGCCGGCGCGTCTCTGAGCCAGCTGCCTGGGGCACCGATGATTTGGTCCTTCTCCTCCTCCTCCTCCTCCTCCTCCTCCTCCTCCTCCTCCGCGTTCTCCTGCTGCTGTTCATCCTCCGCCTCCTGTTCCTCCTTCTCCTCCTCCTCCCCTTCTTCCTCCTCCTCCTTCTGCTCCTCCTCCCTCCTCCCTCCCTCCTCCTCCTCTGTTGCATCTTCCTCCTTCTCATCCGCTTCCTGTCCCTCCTCCTCCTCCTCCTCCAGCTCCTCATCATATTCCTCTGAGGAGGTGGAGCGGGTAGAGGGGGAGGGGAGGAGCGGAGGAGGAGGAGGAGGAGGAGGATGCAGGTTTTTGCCAGTTTTCGATGTTTCACCAGATTTGGGTAGCAAGTTGTTACTTTCTTCGATCGTTGACCCGATTCGGGTAGCAGCGCGGAGCGCACAGAAAGGGGGAGCAGGAGAAGCAGGAGAAGGAGGAGGCGGTGGATAAGGATGCGGAGTGAGAGCAGACAGATGATGATTATGATGATGATGTTGATGATGCTGTTGATGGTGATGGTGATGATGATGGTGATGGTGAAGGTGATGGTGATGGTGATGGTGGTGATGGTGATGGTGATGATGATGCCGATCATGTTGATGCTGTTGATGTTGAGGACGATGACGATGACGATGTTGATGATGATGCTGATAGTGATGAAGCTGATGACGATAATGATGACGATGCTGCCGATGAGGATATGAGGATGATGATGGTAATGCTGCTGATGACGCTGAAGAAGATGCTGGTAATGACGATGCTGATGACGATGCTGATGGTGTTGATGCTGATGGTGATGATAGTGATGATGCTGCTGATGATGATTGTGATGATGATGCTGGTGTTGGCGGTGATGATGATTATGACGTTGATTATGATGTTGCTGATACTGATGTTGCTGGTGCTGATGACGATGATGACGACGATGCTGATAGTGATGATGATGAGGATGAGGATGATGATGCGGATCGTACTGAGGAGGACCATGGTGGTGATGATGATGGTTGTGATGAAGATGGCGATGTTGATCATGATGATGCTGATGGTGATGATGCTGGTGGTGATGGTGATGGTCGTGATGATGATGCTGATTGTGATGATGAGGATGATGATGACGATGGTGATGACGATGCGGATGATGACTATGATGATCATGATGACGATACTGATAAGTATGCTGTTTGTGATGGTGATGTTGATAATGGTGATGCTGTCTGTTGCTGCTCAGCATGATGATGCTGATGGTGACGATGCTGATGATGATAATGGTGGTCATGATGACAACGATGATGGGGGTGATAATAATGATGATTGTGGTGGTGATGATTGTGGTGATGATGTTGCTGATACTGATGATGCTGATGATTATGCTGGTGCTGGTGCTGGTGCTGCTGCTGCTGCTGATGATGATGATGACGACGGTGATGACGATGACGATGATGATGATGATGATGATGATGATGATGATGATGATGATGATGATGATGATGATGATGATGATGATGATGATGATGATGCGGCTGCTGACGATGATGCTGAAGCTGATGATGATGGTGATGTTGATGCTGCTGCTGCTGGTGATGATTATACAGCTGATGCTAGTGACGCTGATGAGGATGCTGGTGCTGCTGCTGCTGCTGCTGCTGCTGCTGCTGCTGCTGCTGCTGATGATGATGATGATGATGATGATGATGCTTCCGATTCGGATTCTGATGATGATGCGGCGGAGGAGGAGGCGGCGGAGGAGTAGGAGCAGGAAAAGGAGGAGAATGAGAAGAACAAGGTTAGAGGCCGAGGAGAAGGGGGCAGCACGCGGAGGGCGGAGGGTGGACGGAGGCGAAGAGCAGGAATGCAGGAAGTGGTGGCTCAAAAGTGCCCGGGAGGCTCCAGGATGTCCCGCGGTGGTGGCGCTGTTCGGGCGCGTCTCTTGGTCGACGCCGAGCGGAGCTGCGCCGCAGCACCACCGCGCCGTCCTTGCTTCTGCTACCTCGGCGTGTCGCGTCGCGACTCCTCGCGCGGTGCCGCAACGCGCGATCCCAAGCATGTGGTGCATGGCAGTCGGCCTTTGCAGTCTCGCTCTGTGAGGCGGGTGGACGTAGCGCTGCAGGCCTGGGGAGTTCCTTCCGCGGAGTGGCTACGTCGCGAGATGGTTAAGACGATTTGGCGGCAGGCGGCGCCGAGGCGGCAGCGATTGCGGAGGAGCTGCGGGACAGGGCCAGGCACGACCCCCAGCGCGCCAACGAAGGAAAGGCGAGCCGCCATGGCCCATGCAGTTGCCAGCTTCCTGGAAGCGCTGCAGCACCCCGCGACCCAGGCGGAGGCCCGCTCCCCCGCTCCCTGGCTCCCGAGGCACAGGGCGTTGGAGCTAGCGCCAGCAGCGGTGGCGGCGCCAGCGGCTCCGGCGATTCCGCTCATGGACACGCCGGGCACGGCGGCGCCGCTGGCAGCGGCGGCGACTGCAGCACGCATGACGGCAGCGGCTCAGCCGCTCAGGCGCAGACCCCACCAGCCGGCCCCATTGAAGGTGAATCCGCGAGCAGCTACGCCAGTTGGGTCAGTGGCGCAGTCGCTGGTCTGGTCGCTGCAGCCGCCGCGGCGGCGACCGCATCGCAGCCACCCCAGCAAGGCGGGCTAGAAGCAGAGGCCCTTCCTGCTGCTGAGGGGCTAGATCAGGGCGATCCGCGAGCAGCCCTGAGCCCCGCGCTGGCCCGGGCGGCGCATCAGCGGCGGACAGGTGCGGCATCGAACGCACTGCCCCCGCCGCTGACCCCGCGCAGGCGCCGCCCACGACGGCCGCAAGGCGCAGGGTGGCCGAGCGGCCCAAGGCGCAGGCGCAGCTGCCGTGCCTCGGCGCACTGGCGGGCCGAGTCGCCTCCCGTGGCGCCAGCGTGGAGCTGGCAGCCCATGACGTGTACAGCCTGGGCGGGTCCTCGTATGCGGACACTGAGGAGGCAGGTCCGCCGTTGGGGCAGTTCGCCGGCAGTTCGAGGTTGCTGGACGACGCGAGGCGCGCGGCGGCAGCTGAGCAGCGGAATGTCCCCAGCGAGCGCACACGTCGTCTGTGGAGCTTGCGGCCGTGGCCGAGCGCGCAGCAGCCATGCCTCTTTCTCGCGCGCAACTTGCCGCTGCCACGTCTCTGGGGCGGGGGGGCGGAGGGGTGGATAAGTTCGCTGCGCCCGAGGCCATGAACTCGCGTCGTGGGTCGGCAAAGTAGTGTGCATACGTCGCGGGGCGTACGCGTCCAGTGCGGCCAGGCAGCTCACGTCCGACTGTCCTGCAGCCCTGCCAGGCGTATGAGCAGGTCCATACGGGAGTGTTTTCTGCTGCAGATTGTGCACCCTACCGCCAAAGAGTGCGAGCCAAGGTACGCGTTCGTGTGGCCCGTGAGGGCCCTCTGGGTTGGCCTCTTCGGCTGCGGGGCGTGGGGCGTTTTGTGGCCGTTGTGGCTGTGGGGGTGGGCCTCCCTGGGCCTGCTCTCGGGCTTGCTCTGTTGGCGTTTTGGCCTCGGGCCTGACAATGCCCTGATGCCGCCGGCCGATTCGTAGGCTGCCGCTGTTTTGGCCCGCCGGCCAATGCGCTCGGTGCCCACGTGGTGCCGACTGTTCTCGCGGAGAGTAGCCTGCTTGCCCTCTGGTGCTGGCTTGCTGACACACGCACGCACTCACACACGCACACACATTGCTCACATATACACAAACGCACACACACACGCACACACACAGACACATCTCTCTCTCTCTCTCTCCCTCTCCCACACACACATGCACACACGCACACAAACGCACGCGCACGCACACGCACACACACACACACCTGCACACACGCGCACGCACTCACGCAAGCACGCGATCGCCTGCACACGCGCGCACGCGCACGTGCACGTGCACGCGCATTTGCACGCTCACGCACACAAGCACAGTCACACGCAGACGCACACGCAGACGCACACGCAGGCGCACACGCAACACACACATCCACACACATACACACGCACGCGCACACGCGCACGCACACGCACACGCACACGAAAAGGCACCCGCACACGCAGTCGTACTCGCACTCGCACGCGCACGCGCACATACACACGCCCGCGCACTCGCACGCGCACATTCGCACGCGCACGCGCATGCGGTCGCACAAGCACACGCGCTCGCACATGCACGCGCACGCGCACGCGCACACGCACACGCACACGAGCTGCTGCCCCCGCACCCGCAGCACCCTTCGACTGTGCCCTTGTGCGGACATGGTTCGTGCTTTGTGCACCTACCCGCCCTCCTTCCTGCGGAGAAAAACCGCATAAACGTACAGTGCCGTTTTTAATACATGCCCCGCGTGCGGATCATGTATTAAAACTGCAGGGTTTAGTATTAAAATCAACGATGCGTTCATGCATAAGTTTATTCATACACACAATCATGTATTAAACATATACATATAACGGGGGACCGGTCCGGGGGCCCGGGGCCGGCGCCCCGACCACAAATGTGGGTTCCGGGGGCCCCGGAGGCTCGTCGGGGCTTGCCGGAGGCCTCCCCGGTCAGACAAGACGGCCCCAGAAACGCCCAAGACGGCCCAAGAGGCCTCCAAGAGGGCTCCGAGATGCTGAAGATGGCCTCCAGACGTCCAAGGACGCCCCCCAAGACGCCCCAAGAAGCCTCCAACATGCGTTCCAAGAGGGCCCCTAGACGCAAAAATTTGCCCATTACTTTGTAAAACGTACATTTTTCACACAGTTGCCTTTTGGGCTTTCCGACGTTACAGGACGGCCCAAGAGGCGCCCAAGACCGCCCCAAGACGGCCCAAGAAGCTTCTAAGAGGGCCCCAGGACAGCCCAAGAGGGCCCCAAAACGGCCCAAGAGGCGCCCAAGATGGCCCAAGAGGGCCCCAAGACGGGCCCAAGAGGGGGCCCAGAGGGGGACCACGAACCGCAAGCTCGAGCCTTCTGCCCCAAGAGGCCGCCAGGAGGCCCCAAGGAGGCCCCTCAAGAGGCCCCAGGAGACCCCCAAGAGGCCCAAAGGAGGCCCCGAGAAGCCCCAAATCGGCCCCCAAAATGCTTCGAACCTGCTTCCAGGAGGCCCCCGACAGGTTCAGAGGCTCCCGAGAAGCTACGTCAAACTCCCAGCGAGCGGCCGGACGAGGCCCCCCAAAAAATCCCAAGAGGGTTCCAGTATTTGGATCCTTCAGCGCTCTCTGGCCTTCTTCCCCCTGCCCCCTTCCCTGCGACTTTCGTTGACTCTAGCTCGCCTCCTCTCCATTTCCTCTCTCTGCCTCTCTCTCTCTCTCTTTGTCTCTCTCTCTCTCTCTCTCCATCTCTCTCTCTCGCTCTCTCTCTCTCTCTCTCCTTCGCTCTCTGTCTGTCTGTCTCTCTCTCCCTCTATTTCTCTCTCTCTCTCTCTCTCTTTCTCTCTCTTCCTTTCAGATTCCGTGTCCTTGCGACCTTCTGCAGTCCCCGACGTCACCACGGCTGGATCCGCTCGAGCGTGTCTTGTGATGTGCGGCGGTGCGAAGCCCGTCCCACTGATCAAGGCACAGGTACGAAATGATGGGTCCATCATTGTTTGCCTTCCCATGTGCGTTTTCCCAATCGATTCCTGGGCCCGAGGTCGCAAAAATTACGACGTCGGAGGTCTGGGGAGGCGGGAAGCACGACCTGGACCTCCGACGTCTTGGAAAAATCACGACGGCGGTTTCGGTCAATTTTCGGCCTCCGGGGCCCCTCGCAGGGTCCCGGGACCCTCAGAAAACGACTCAGGATGAAAAAAAAAACATCCCCAGGAAGTCGTCGAGAGGTCCAGGGCCCGCGCACAATCCATGGCAACCGCCGCTACCTTCGTCGCCGCGATCGCCGCCGTCTTCATCGCCGCCGTCGTCGCCGTCCTCGGGTTCTGTTCGGACACCCTCTGGCCATCTCGTGGGGCACGCTGGGGGATTATCAGAGGCATCCGTGAGTATCCTGATGGGCCCCGCGACTTCCCCCAGAGACTCTGACTACAGAAACTCCTTTCGTATTCCGGCCAGAAGCATCCAGAAATGATGTACATTAGCCCTGGCGGGGGGAATGATGGCGATGGTGATGTTCATGATGACGACGGTGACGATCCTAGCCAGAACCTAAGCGCGCGCGAAGCGCGCGCGTGGTTCTAGTCATATGTGTTTAGAAATCCTATGTATTACAACCTGCCCTGTACACTTTCGGAGCTCCGCGCGGATTTCTCAGATCGGCGATGCTCCCCCCCCTTCCTTGCGCGCGCCGCGCGCCAGGGGCGGCGCCGCAGGCGCAGCCAGGGTGCCTCAGCGCCAGGGTCGAGAAGTCTGCGCGGAGCCCCGTAAGCTCATCTTGGCATCGCTCGGACGTGTGCATTTCTCTTTCGGCGAGGACCATCGAGGAGTATCCTGGATCATTTGGCGAAAAAATCCACGCACGAAGCCGAAAAAAAACACGGGGAATGCACGTCCGAGCGATGGCCAGTCATGTTTATGGCGTTTTTTGTTTGGCCTTTTCCCCTCGCACAGGGTCATTCGACCCGAGGCCCCGGCGGCCCTGCTGGTCAGCCTGGGGTCGCCGGCGGGTGGGCGGAGAGCCCCGTCGGTCCGCCGCGGGGTCCGTAGCGTTGCATTGCTTGGGGGGTGGGGCGCTCCTAGTCCGTCTCGTCCGCCTCTTCGACGGCTGCCGTCGCTCCTCTTCCCCTATGTGAATTGTCCGTTTTCGGTTCTCGAGAGGGCGCCGTGGCCGTTATTTTCCAGGCTTGCGCCCGCCAGGTTTGGGCCTCAGGTCGTTTTCACTAAACCACGTTTTACTAAAGGGGGGTCTGTCCATCCCCGATTCCCCCTTCTGACACTTGGCATCGCTCGGACGTGCGCATTCTCTCCTCCGGCGAGGACCATCGAGGAGCCTCCTGGATCCCGTGAGGGAAAAGCCACGCACGGAGCCGAACAAACGCACAGGGCATGGACGTCCGAGCGGTGGCCAGTGACACGGAGCCCTCTGGGAGCCGAGGGTGGCCCCCGCACCGAGGGACGGGCGGGCAGGGCCGAGGTCCCGGGGTCCGGGGCCGGTCCGGCCCTCTCCGGCCTCGAGGGGCCGAGCCCCAGAGCAGTGGCGGGCGTGGCCCCCTTACAGGGGGGGATTTTCGGAGGCCTGGAACTGGGCACCAACACCAACACAGGGGGTTGCTCGGGCCGGGCGAAAGGGGGGGATTGGGAAAGGGGGGGTTACGAAATTTGCTGCATGCAGCTGGTTTCGGCCTCGCCGAGGGCCGCATTCCTCGATACATGGCCGCCTCCGGCGCCGGGAGGCGCCGGGAAAATCAGCTACGTGAGCTGATTCTCAAACCCCCCCTTTGCTATCCCCCCTTTTGCCCGACCCGAGTTGCCTCCACAAGGGGGA